TCGCCGAAGCCGTACGAGAGGGTCCACCGAGCCTTCCAGGCGGAGACTCCTGTCACCGTAGCAGCACCCGAGGAGCCCAACCTGACCTACGCCGCAGTGGCCCGAAGGCCACCGCCTCGTCCTCAAGCCTATGTCGCTCCGCCCCGACGTCGGTCTCCTGCGCCCCTGCACGAGCGCCACCGCGACGACCAGGTCCAGTACGCCGGCCAGGAGCCCCGCGCACCTCGGAAGACCGACGTGTGGCGAACACCCGACCGACGTCCTTTGTGTTTCCACTGCGGGGAAGCAAACCACACCTACCGCCAATGCCCATACCGGCGACTCGGGCTGCGGGGGTTCCACCCGAATGACCCACGCCCCGTTACGGTGAACGCCCTCGACACGCCCCCGTTACGGTGAACGCCCTCGGGAGATCGACGAGTACCTTCGATGACCTCAGTCCCCCGAGCCTGCCTCCCACCGAGAGTTCCGGTCGCCATCGCCACGACGTCCGGCTTCGCCGATGCACCGCCCCCACGTGAAAGCCTGTCACCCCTCGCTCCTCGCCGGGGAAACTAGGCGCGGCAACCCCTGGAGGTGGAGTTGCCGAAGACGACCGACGTAAAGAGCCTCCAAGAACGACAGAGCGCTCCCACTCTCCCGACGCCACGCATCGCAACGAAGCTTCTGCATCGGTGTCCAACAACCTAAACGTTGTTATTGACGGCCGCGACGCATCAGCGCTTGTGGACACCGGAGCAGACTACTCAGTCTTGAGTGGGAGGCACTCCCACCGTCTTCGAAAAGTCACGACGCCGTGGGATGGACCTCAAATACGAACCGCAGGAGGGCACCTCATCACGACGGTTGGGAGATGCACTGCTCGCGTCGAGATCAACGGTGAGACGTGCCCTGTCAAGTTCGTCGTTCTGCAAGACTGTTCGAGGGACGTTATCCTCGGAATGGATTTTCTCTGCGAGTATGGCGCCGTCATCGACCCTGGAGCAAACCGGCTGACGCTGCGAAAACCTGCTCCACCATAGGAGGACCCCAAAGCGACGTCATCCGCGGTACGAGTCCTCGCAAACCACGTGAACCTACCACCGCGGTCAAGTGTTTTTGTACCCGTCGGCGTCGATGAGACTTTCCGCGGCGACGTTTTGCTCGAAGGAAGCCTCCAGTTGCTTCTAGGAAGAGGGATCGGCATCGCAAGAGGCGTCACGGAACTCCAAGACGGACAAACTCTCGTACTCGTAACGAACTTCCGACAGGAGGCCCAGCACCTTACGAGAGGCACCGCCGTGGGTCACGCCGAGGAACTCCCGGACTCAGTCGCAATCGCCGGAATATCAGAAGACGTGGCCACCCAAGACAAACGCCGCCTTCGCAGTTTGACATCGACCCAACCCTGCCTACCCCGCACTTCCACCAAAATGTCACGGGTGGTGACCAAAGGAACAATAAATAAACAGGAAGAAATAAACGTTTAATGTGGCGACCCGACAGCACCGACGGCGACGATGACGGCCGTTTTCTTGGAGCACTTACGGATACCGACCTGGGAGCACTTCAACGAGACGACCCCGAACTTCGCGCCGTGATCGACCACCTTGGAGGTCAAGGAAGTTCAGTTCCGCGAGTCTTGGCCCGAGACCTGCCAAGCTTCGTTCTGCGGCGAGGCGTGCTGTTCAAGAAGAACTTCGGAACGAGCAACCCCACCTGGCTGCTGGTTTTTCCGGACAGCCTGCGAGAGGAAATCTTTCAAGCATGCCATGACGACCCGACGGCTGGACACCTTGGATAGAGCAGGACGCTCGCCCGGATTCGTGACAAGTACTACTGGCCGAGACTCCCGAAAACAGTCAACCTGTACACACGGTCATGCCATCAGTGCCAACGACGTAAGATGCCTCCGACGAAGCCAGCAGGACTCCTAGAGCCGATACCTGCCCCGACTACGCCCTTCCAGCAGATCGAAATGGATTTACTTGGGCCGTTCCCAACATCGACGCAAAAAAATCGGTGGATTATTGCCGCGACCGATTATCTTACACGATACGCCGAGACGAAAGTCCTGCCATCGGGAACAGCGGTCTAAGTCGCCAAGTTTTTCGTCGAATCCATCCTCCTTTGACACGGCGCCCCTGAAGTGCTGATCACAGATCGCGGGTCATCCTTCATGGCACAGCTGACCCAAGAAGTTCTTCGGCTCAGTCATACCAGCCATCGACGAACAACCGCTTATCACCCGCAGACCAACGGGCTAACAAAGCGGCTCAACAAGATCATTGCCGACATGATCTCCATGTACGTCGACGTAGAGCTCAAGACATGGGACGAGGTGTTGCCGTACGTCACGTTTGCGTACAACACATCGGCTCAAGAAACCACGGGAATGACACCGTTCCAACTGGTGCACGGCCGGACGGTTACCACAATGCTTGACGCCATGCTGCCTCACGTGCGAGCCGACGATGGCAACTCAACTGATCTCCCAGCGCGCGGAGGAAGCTCGTCAGCTGGCAAGAATCAAGATTCAAGACCAATAGCGAGTCGACGCACGCCGGTATAACCTTCGTCACTGAGACGTCCACTTTTAACCCGGAGACCGGGTATGGGTTTGGACACCAATACGGCGCCGCGGTCTCAGCGAGAAGCTTCTGAAACGCTATTTCGGATCCTACAAGATCATCCGACGCCTCGGCGATCTGAACTACGAATTTCTACCCGATGGAACGCGGCCATCTGCAAGACGTCAGCCGCGACCCGAGGTGGTGCTCGTCGTCAGGTTGAAGCCGTATTACGAACTATAGAGCTTTCCACTCTCGTCGACGAGTGAACTGTGAACTGTGAACTGCTGCTCGCAATTCTGCTGTCCTTTTGCTTTTTTTTTTTGTTTTCAGTTTGTGCTGCATCGGGACGATGCACTTTTAAAGGGGAGGGATAATGCCGCGCGCTGTGCCTGGAAATCACCGCTCGGTCATGGAGCTCTAGAACGGTTCTCGTTTATTCTTCTTCCGGACGTAACTTCCATCCTTTATTCCTGCTTTCTTGTTCTAGAAAGTGCGTGTTCATTCTCGCCCCGAGCGCGCTACACTCAAACCTTCTCCGCCGAATCTTCGAGATAGTCGCTCACTCTTGATAAGAGGCCGCCCGCGACCTTGTCGAGTCAGTTTTCGCCTCAACGTTCGATCGTGCTGCTTCGCCGCCTTCGACGCCCGCGACGCTCTGTTACTATCATTCTTTTTCCTTTTATTATCGGGCACAAGTTCGCCCCATTAAACGTTCAGTTTACTCGGTCATTCGCCACCTCGTCACTTGTCATCCGTGACAATATCAGCAAATCAAGGTACACAAGCACTTGGTCGAAGTGTAACCAATATATTTTCTCATCACACTTGGAACCAAAACTTGGCAGGTTGAAGGAGGATGCTCTATTTTTTTAACTTGTACAACTTCCTACATGTCCCGGCTAATGTGTATGTCCTTCTCCTACCATTGTTACCACATGCTGATGTTCTCCACTGTGTATGGTGATGTAGGGCAAGTTGACGGTAATTTATAGACCATTTGGTGTCCTTCACTGCCGAAATACATTATCAGGTATTTTTTACAAATTCGAACAGTCGGTTTTGAAATAATTGATTGTATGCATTAAAGATGCTTAAAAATAAAGGTGACTCCAATTTTTGTTTTGAATAATGTTGGCGTTATGTACATTACAAAAACTGCCAGTTTACTGATTACTTATATTACATTGTTGGGTCTACTATCAGACGGCACAGCCGGAGATTGTGTGAATAGTTGACCCACATGTAACCAGTCTTGTACACGTTACTAAAAAAAGTAATTGATTACAATTACTATTACTCTTGGCTAAAAAGTATTTGATTAGATTACATGATTACTCGACGGAAAAAGTAGTTGGATATTACTTAATAAAGTAATCGTTACGTTTTGGATTACTTTATTTTGTGAAGACCCATCTTTAGCGCTCATAACAATGAGCTCCTTCCAACCTATATTTCACATTTGCACAAGTATTGAAGAAGAAAAACTGGCTCCCTCTTCGTGGTCGTTGCACCTTCACAATGGGGACACAAGCATAGAATTCGTTTGAAGATGTTTAATGATTTGGTCGTTCGCCAGTCTGTATGTGTGTGTGTGTGGGGGGGGGGGGGGAGCGGAGGGGGTTCTAGATCTTGTTAAGCTTGAGCAAGGGTTATCGCTCAAAGTTTGCGTCACTCATTTTATTATTCACATGTGGATGAGCTCGCATGTTATAAAAAAGAGCAGCAGGTGCAGGATTTGAAACGGATCATGTGTAATATCTATTAGCGGAAGAGATTGCCCCGACCACTTCTCAACTCGAAACATTGCTTGTCACAAACACCACGTAGGGGAAATGGGGAAATATTTCAACTGCCTTTGTTATATTTTCCATCCGCTTTAGGCATTCTTCGGTTCTGGTTCTCCTACGGGCTGCGAGTAGGTACCCTAAGCAGGATTTTTTTTTATTTTTTTATTAGTGTGTGTGTGTGCGTGAGGGGGCAGGTTTCAACAAAGGACTCAGAAAGCTACATGCTGCTTCCTGAAACTTCGCCCTGAATGGCCTTTGTTACGCACTGTGGCTTCCCTGGGGCTTCCCGGTCCCAGTCCCAGCTCGAAAAAGAAAAAAAAAAAACGGACATTCCACAGAAACTGTACATAGAAAGAGATTGACCTCGTTTCCTACAGCTCTGCAAAAATCTTCCTTTTTTCCGTTCGAAAAAAAAAGAAGCAAATTTTATTTTTGACATTTTATAAAAAAAGGCGTGTGCCGGGAGGGGGGGGGGGGGGTCTCGTGGACAAATTGTAACGGTTACAAGTAATTTTACTACTTCAAAAAGTAATCAGATTACTCTTGTGATTACTGCCTAATAAAAGTAATCAACTAATTACAAAATTACTCCAAAAAGTAATCGATTACAAGTAATTTGATTACTTGTAATGCGTACGGTTCAAGTCTGCATGTAACTCACCTGAACGAAGGCCTTCCGCCAACGTGGCAGAGATCAACAACAGAGCGAGGAGTCTTGACATGTCTTTTGAGTGCTCACCATCAACCGCGACTTCTCTTAATTTATGTACACTTGCCTTGGTATGGTAATGTTGAGTGCTACTGACGCCAGTATATATATGTTCTTAAACATATTTTGATGGGGATCAATCAACACGTGATCATGTGGATGAGGCGTCATTTGTCACTGTGATTTGTGACATTTCTCAAGATTCTAGAGCGGCTTGTCAGCTCAGAGACATTCTTGCCTGCCTAATAGCTTAGGCAGCCGTTGCTGCGTGACAGATTGTTTGCAGACCTTTGCCTTGCGTCATCTAGGTATTTTTGACGTTTGACGTCGCTGGCTTCCAACGTATGAAGATAATCTCAGTTGTGTAATTTGCTATAAACCCTGTTTTCACGCACAGTAACCTCGCTCTCCCCCGAAGGTTCGCCTACCGTCGTCCGCATCGCGATATTTTTAGAGAGGAAAGTCTTAATCACAATATTTTATTCTATTCAGCCTTTGCCCCTCCATAAACTAGTCTTAAATAGCAGCCTTTTCCTGGTATTTGAGACGATGGATGGTGGCCACGGGGAGAACAATGGGAGGGGATATCTTTATGATGGAGTTCTGCAAATGGAGGTGATCGATCTACTAAGTTTAGGGGCTTCAAACTAACAAACACTGAATTCAAATTACCTTAAAAATCAGGCTTCAGGCGACTTTGTCTGAGAAAAATCATGGAGGTTATCAATGATTATTTTTTTTATTCTCATTGAAAAATATTATTTATTAATTTGCATCTTACATGCATGTTAGATTTCTTTGTTTTATTTTACTCGTGTAGAAAATGCTGTACAGTGCCACTTTGATGTAGCTCGATATGAAATGTAGGAACGCAGCCCACTGCTATACTACGGCCATCGCACTCGAGAATTTACAAGAAAACTGCGAAGATAAAAGTGGCGCGTATTCTCCTCCCTGAACATTTTAATAATTTTAATGGGTGATTTTGCTTTCACATGTGTAGTTTTCAATTAATACATAATTACGCAGTCCTTTTCGCAAAGAATAGGATGCATTTGACAATCGCTACTGCTTCGAGCTTACGCCCCAAATTATTAAGATGATGATTCCCAATCTTTTGTTATAACACCTTAATAAGGGAAGAATACATCCACAGTTTAGGAATGTATTTAAGTTTTCACTCTGAATACATTAATTAACCTTGAGCACTTAAAATATAATAAAGAAAACTGAGTTAATATGGTATGAAATAAAATTCACCTCAAAACATCACTGTTGCCTGGGCAAAACTTCCAATCTTACTGTGTAACATACTCAGCAAGATAAACAAATTCGCTTACACTGCTCTACGTTTAAACTTAGTCAAAATAGATTTAGAAGGTTTTTGTTTTGTTCAAAACTTGAGAGTGGTGCTTTATAAAGCCCCGCCCCCCCCCCCCCCCCCCAAAAAAAAAAGAATATATTAACATAGCTTTAAATTATTCAATACCGTTCCACATGCTATATAGCGCCTACCCAGGTAGCACGCCAGAGAAATGCCCAACTTGGGAAAACGTCTGGCAAACGTAAGGGCCCAAGCTTGGCCCAGTTAGGTTTTGGTCCATGGCGTACATCTGTTTGAAAGTACGTTGCCTAACTGTAGCCCTATGTGGGCGATCCTAGGGCATGATGAAGTTTGACTGTTTTCTGGCCCGCCACATTTGTACCAAAGTGCCATACTTGAGCCATCACTGCCGAAGTAAATCTTAGTTTGGGGATTTGGGGCATGGCGAGGGTTGGCTATTCTCTGGCTAGCCACTGGAGTGCTAAAAGTGCCAAAGACACATGTCGTCCGGTTTTCGTTTTCTATGTCATTCTCCTTTAACACCGTAACTTATCCAGCGCGCTCCATTTCAACGAGAAAGCCCACAGGCCTGCCGAAGTTTGAAGTTTCTCTGGTGTGCCGCAGAAGTACCCTTCTACGCGCTTCAGAGGAAATTTAAATTTAAAAAGGGTTGGAAACACGATGGTCAGATCAGATCATCTTCGTTGCCAAGCAGCACGGTGGTACTTGGCTGTAGTGTAGTGCCAGAACCGGTTGAAAGTCGGTTCTAAGATCCCTTAAATGTCTAGTTTTGCGCCATTATTCGATATCCTGAGGAAATCGCCGTACAGTCGTTTCGCACCACTTTAGTGTTCGCGCTATATGATGCGAATAATCTGCGATTCGTCTGCTCCGTATTGACCGGACGTCGTGGAAGTCTGTGTTGTATAGAATGTTGGATATTATTTGTCACATATCAATAACACACATGGACCAAGAAACTTTTTCGAACGCTCCCAGTGGTTTATTAAATCACTATCATTACACACAGCTTATTCTCGACATATTTACCAAGGTCATACTTCTTTGTTAAATGAAGCACAGATTATAAAATAGAATTAAGACTGATTCCAAGCCAAGCAAAACTAAAAAATTAAAATAAAAAAAATTAAAACTGCGAAGATTGATAGGAATGCAGAACTACTATCAAAAGCATGCTTGTAGTGCACTTACTAATAAAAGCGATATCATGTAATCCTCGATAGATGCATACTCCGATTCAAGCAACCTAAAAACACAGTCGAGAAAGAAGGTTGCGCACATTCAACTGGCGTCTTGTCCTCGGCGAGGAGCAGTTTTTGTCAAAACGCGTCCAGCATACACAGCACAAGAAATCCACGCACTCCGGCTAGAAAAATGGTCACAGTATAAAATTGGCGTGGACGTATTCCGGCAGTTCACAACCAAAAAGCACGGCCGCGTCTGCAACGCACGAAAGCAACAGAACACTGAAGAGCAGATTTCGGGTACCGGACCTACTTTGCCCGCCTATTTCTATAACTTGTCAAACGGCGCAAAGAGCCCCAGAGATTCCACCAGCGTGGCAGAGAGAGTCACGTGACAAATTTTTATTTAAGCGTTTTTGTACTACGCGTTCTACGGACTAAGGTCACGCGTTTCGCTCCACACTGCTGATTTGCTTAATACGGCCGTCGCGCTCGCTGACAGCCAGACAGACACAAAAGCAGGTGGGGAGGCTTAGCAAAAGGCGCGGTCGAAGGGGCACGAGTAATACAGGTAAGCTTCCTCTTCATTTTTGACTGAAAATGAAGGCATTTTATACCTCGAATCTCGGAGGCTTGTAATGTCAGCTTTGGGTAGGGCGGGAGGCGGGGGGGGGGGGGGGGGGAGGGAGGGAGGGAGGGAGGGAGGGAGGGAGGGGCATGTGGGGAGGAGTTAAGAACTGTGAGGGAAAGGCGTGTCCAGGTTGATACTGTAAAATCCAAATAATAACACAGGCTCGATATGGATTTCAAAAAAAAAGTCTGCAGTACATGCACTGATTGAAATAAAAAATACAATTGTTGAAAATATGGAAAATAAGTTGTATACACTTGGCCTATTCCCCTACGAAAAGCTTTTGATACTGTGCAACACAATATTGTACTAGACTAGCTTCAAACTTGCGGAGTTCGAGGAATCGCATTAAAACAAATTAAATCCTATCTTACAAATTGCTATCAATATGTTAATATCATTAATCAATCGTCTAGTAAAATGAAAATACAAAACGGAATTCCTTAGGGTTATCCCGGGGCCTCTGTTGTTCCTTGTATATATTAATAATATAACAAATATACCAGGCTCTCCTCAGTTAATATTGAATGCAGACGATATAAATGTATGTTTCTCTGGCATTGCAAAGGAGAGTTTAGAAAATTCTGCGAATGCCTACCTTGTGAACCTGTCAAATTGGCTACAAATCAATCGTTTAAGTTTAAATGCAAGTAAAACTAAGTAGGTAATTTTTAGACCAGTAAATAAACGAGATCCAGCTCTATCAATATAACTTTTGACGGCACCTTATTAAAGAAAGTAAGAGATCAACAATTTGTGGGTGTATGGTTTGCCGAGGACCTATCGTGGAATACTCATGTCAATAAACTTAAAACTAATTTAGATCGAGTTACTGGCAGCTTATATAAAATTCAAAACCTAGTACCTACCTGGTTATATCAAATGTTATACTATTGATTTTACTCTAGAATTAGTTACGGTATATTGGTCTGGGGAACAGCAACAACTACGAACTACAATAGAATATTTACATTACAAAAGAGAATACTACGTATATGTGGAAACTATAGAGGCACGCACAGAGCTACGCTCGCTTTTGCAATGCGCCGCCTAATAATGGTATCTGTTGAGGAGACGTGCGCACATCAGTCTAGCGCAGCGCTTGCTTGATGGCAGCATTTTCTGCAACGTCGTACCTGTCTCACTTCTTGTCCCGATATTTGTGTGTGTACGTACGCGTGAATACAACAATCCGGGAAAATCTGCGTGTATAAAGTCATTTCCGCAGCGGCAGAACATTCAGCCCACCTTTGGCGTGGAGAAGTCAAGGAACACCCAAAATACAATCAAAAGTTGCGAGCAGAATAAAACTTGATCTCTATTTAATTAAGTTCCAGACCAACCGCGTACATACAATGCATTGGCAAAGATGTAAACCTAGTTCTGACAATTGTTTGTGATTTTTGCCCGTAGCTGTCAGATGACAGCCGAACTATCAGGAAGCGAAGCCTAACTTTGGCACTTTTTTGGTGACCTGCACCCAAAGGCGGCAGATGTGAGCCGAACTATAAGGCAGTAATCCTAACTCTGGCACATCTGTGGCGGCAGCTTTGACTTGCGGTTGGCCTTTTGGCGGCATGGCAGCGCGAAGTGGCTCCTATTTTGAACTGATCTTTGCCCCGCGTTTGCTGTCGTTTGTAGCCAATGAAGTGTCATGCCGAATTAGCGTTTAATCGCGCAACAAATGCAATGCGAGCCGCTCTTTCTGCCCGCTGCATAAAGCCCACCCATAACATGCTTTAGTGGCGCCCTCTCGCGCCGTCAACACGGAGTGCGGCAGCTGTGAGCGCTCGCTGAGCTCACTAACCCTCCTGTAGTTCACGGTCACTCAAAGAACCAAGGACGTCATGAAA